CCAGTCCTACATTGCAGAGAGGGCGTCACCCAAAGATGAGGTTTGCTCTGGGTCTTGAACCACGTTAAGGGTTTTCTGGGACAAAGGGAGGGAAACTGAATGAGCAGAGAGTGGTTTTGGGGAGGGGAAGGTGGTGGGAAGACCTGACTAGAGCAGGGAGCGGGTGCTGGGATGCAGAACCAGGTTGATCGGGACCGGGCAGGGTGAGGGTAGAGCATGCGTTTTGAAGACACAGGTGGGTGTGTTCTTGCCTATAAAACACAAATCATCATAAAGCTGCCCTTCAAAGTCGCTGTGAGGATTCAACAGGATAAAGTCGATACTATGCTTACGCCTTGACATGTAGTAGGGCCTTAATTAATGCTCTATAACATAGTTATATGTACATATATTTATATATAGTATATATAATACATATTATACACTATACACACACACACGTGTGTGTATATATTGTGGAGGAGCTGAAAGACAAGTGTGGGAATTTGGATTTGATATGAGAGAACATGCGTTTTTTGCTGATGATGTTTCCTGAGAAGTGGCCCATTGAATGATATTTAAAGGAGATGAATTCTGGCATTAGGGTCCCTGTATGATCTAGTGAGCAGAGATCCTTACTGAGCGACTCAACAGTCCAAGAGCAACTAGAGGATACAGGGAGCACATACTCCAGAGGCTGAGAACGTAGAGCTTTGTGCCGAAGGAGAGATGGACCGAAATAGCTTCATGAAGAAAGGAAAAGTATGACTTCATGATATAGGGTTTAAAGAGTTTGATTAAAAATCACCAAGCCCTTACATGACAGGGCCTCTTAAAAAAATCAATATCAGCTTCCTGAGTTCTCAGTGTACAAAGCACTTTTCACACCACTTTGAGCCTCCTCTCAAGTTGAAGGAACTTATTTTAAAACTGGTTAAATCTTACAGTAAAGGGAAGTCATATTCTCCTTTATACCCATTACCCTGGAGTGTCAGTTCCATTGTGTTATAAGAACTGTTTGATTTTAGTACATAAAAGGGAGCTCCGTCACTGAAATATAGTATGAGGATTCCAGTTTTTAAAAAGAAAACCGTAGGTCGGTAGGGATGAGGGATTTAGCAGGAAGAACTTGATGAATGTTTACTCCAAATATAAATCTTAAAAGGGAGGATATAAAATATTAAATATATATCCAAACTCTAAGAGAATAAAGCATGATGTAAGGAGTCAAAAATCTGCTACGATACTCACACGTTGAATTGAAGCCTCCATCAGCCTGGCTCCCCACAGGATTAGAACGAGCAGCGCCCCCTGCAGACACGAAGCATGAATGAGAAATAGTCACCTTAACCACAGAGGTCTTGTTTGTTACCACTGCACAACCTAGCCTATTCAGGCTGTTATCTCCAGCTTTGGACACTCATTTCCCCAGGATTCCATTTTCCGAGAGTGGGAGGGAGAGTTTTGTTTTTGTTTGGCACATGAATGAAATAGAAAATCTATCTGAAGTTACCACAGTGACATCTTATTGGTTCAATCTGTGAATAGGGTGCTAAGAAAGTAAAATTGAAGGGTTTCATTCAGGTAACTTTGCTTAGTCTATGTCCAAAGTTTGCACCTGAACTGGCCTCATCATGGAATTATGTTACCTTATTTTTTTAGAAAAAGCTTCAAGATATAATTTACATACCAGACAATTCACTCATTTACAATGTACAATTCAGCTGTTTTTTAGTAGATTCACGGATAAGTGCAACCATCACCACAGTCATTTGGAGAACACTTTCATCACCTTAAAAAGAAAACTCATACCCCCTCACTCTCCCTCCCCTGTAACCCCATCTAGAAGGACTTTGGTGCATATACCTTCTGATTGCATATATCTTCTCACCAGGGCAGAGCAAAGTTACGACTTTGGTCTTAATAAAGTCCTCTATTGCAAGAAAAATAAGGAAAACAATCAGGGCCTTTGCTCACGGGGTTTCTTCTGCACAGGCCTCTTTCCTCCTCGTGGCAGAGAACCTCATCTGCACACAGAAGTGTTCCTGAGACACCTCATCCAAGTTAGACTCCTGCCTCACCTCCACTCTTGGTTCGTTTCCTTCATATTGCATATTATATTATTTTTTGTCTTAGCTGAACTTTATTGAGGTGTAATTTATATGCAACAAAATGTGGCCATTTTCAGCATGCCATTCAATCAATTTTGACAAATGTAAATGCCCAGTAACCGCCACCCCAATCAAAGTATGGACATTCCATCACCCCCAAATTCCTTCCTGCTCCTCCAAATTCAGTCCTCTCCACCTCAGCCCTGGGCAAGTTTTCTGTCACCACGGATTAGTTTTGTCTGTTCTAGACTTCCATACTAATCACAATTTAAATCGTTTATCTATTCCTTTTCTGTCTCCACAACCAGACTTTTTTTTAACCATGACTTTCTAGCACAGAGTGTCTAGCACAGAGCCAGACAGCGTCAGAATGAATGAACCCCAAATCATCCTATTTACCAGCTTTGATTTAGAAAATTGAACCATCTAAGCATTTGACAGTAACAGTGTGGACTTTATTGTGAGGGTTAAAAACAGGCCTGGTGGGGGCTGGCCCCGTGGCCGAGTGGTTAAGTTCGCGCGCTCCGCTGCAGGCGGCCCAGTGTTTCGTTGGTTCGAGTCCTGGGCGCGGACATGGCACTGCTCATCAAACCACGCTGAGGCAGCGTCCCACATGCCACAACTAGAAGGACCCACAATGAAGAATATACAACTATGTACCGGGGGGGGGCTTTAGGGAGAAAAAGGAAAAAAATAAAATCTTTAAAAAAAAAAAAAAAAAGAAAAACCAGGCCTGGTGGCGTAATGGTTAAGTTTTCATGCTCTGTTTGCAGGTTCGGATCCCCAGCATGGACTTAACGCGCTGCACTCATCAAGCCATGCTGTGGTGGCATCCCACATGCAAAATAGAGGAAGATGGACACAGATGTTAGCTAAGGGCTAATTTTCTTCAGCAAAAAGAGGAAGATTGGCAATGGATGTTAGCTCAGGGCCAATCTTCCTCACCACAACCCTCCAAAACACGCAGTAGTCTCTTACTCATCTCTTTTGCTTTCTTTCCTTCCCTGCCCTCACCTTTTTCATCAATAGTGTCAAAAGTAGCCTTGAATAGGGGAGAAGGCCATGATAGGGGTCACATTCCTTTGCCTTTTGGCAAAATGTATTATCATTTTGAATGAATAGATAGGAATAGTTTCATTTTGTAATGTTTTGTTAACTTTCAACTTTCAGCTTTGTCAGTGAAGATATTTCCAGGAGCATGTTGCAAACCCATGCACTTGATGACAGGATATGAGCTCAACTCCAACCATATCTTTACTTCTGAAAATACACTTGAGATTAGTGTCCTACCAGCAATGTCATAGCAGGTCTGTTGATTTTTGACAAAATATTTTTTCCTCTAATATAATCAAGCCTTGAATCGCATACCTGTGAACTGACATCTATCATTCCTGCACAGAGGAGGAAGGAGTCAAGGTCAGCATCTCTACCTTACAGATGGAGGAGCTGAGGGACAGAGACCCTTCTGTGGGGATGCTTTTCCTTGCTTCCTTTGCATGCGTTAATTTCCGGTTTGGCAGTGTGTACATCCCCCTTCAGCCGAAGTTCTAAATCTCTTTCTCTCTCAACTATCTAGGACACATGAGAATTAACCTACTCATGTAGATTACAGGGCCCCAGCCCTCATTAACCTTAATATTGAAAGAAATACAGCTTTTGCTGTAGGAGAAGTGGAAATGCCTTGCCACTCAGTCCAAATAGCAACATTTGCACGAGCTGAGGAGATGGGCTTTTTAGGGTGAAGTTCATCCATGGCAAACATTCGCTTCCAGTCAGTGAAAATTTCACATACACCATACCCTGGGTTTGTGGGCCCTTTATAAAGCATCGAAAAATTGCATCCCTGAAGTTATTTTATAGTAGATTAAGGTGCTGCCTATTCAGTATTTCTTAATGTCTTTTGAATTAACGATTCCATCCTGAAATTCTCACCTTCTTCTCTAGCAGGTGATTGATTTGTTGAAGGACTGAACTGCTGACACTTCGTCCTGAATACTGAAGTTGAACATACCCTAGACATCCTCTTTTCCAGACATCAGGCTCTCTGTCTGTCCCCTGCTTACCAGGGCCAACCTTTGCTTTAATAAGATTTAAGGGCTGAGCAAATCTCACCCATGTCCTCATCTGTCCTCTTTAGAAGATGTTGCTTTTGTCCATGACATTGAGTTTAAGGGGACAGCCAACATTGGGGAGATGGGGAAAGGGGGTAGAGATGACAAGATATAAGTTCACAACTGTGGGTAAATTAGAGAAATACCTGAGGACTGGCTTGAGCCTCAGAGAAGGCAAAAACAGGAGGCAGATGGGGAAGAAAAGCTGCTCAGAGCAGTCCAGGCCATGACCTCTTGCTGGCAGTTCAGTTTTTAGAAGCAAATAAACCTGTGTAAGAAAAATTGGCTAACTGGGCCACGTACACAGAATTGGTGGCTTGTAAAGCTCTCTCATTTTGCTAAGCCCTGATGATACCCCACCCAGGCCAAACGAGGGTCAGACTTTCCAAGAAGGCTGGGCAAATTTCCATGACTATTTGTTCTCTTCCATCCCTCCCAAAATAGTCATTATTCTTCTCTTGACCCAGGCCAACAGGCAAATGTTCAATTGCCCGCCAGAACGATTTGACACTATTTAGAACTGTGTTTTTCAAACTGTGGGTTATGATCCATTAAATGAGCTTTGAAATCAGTTAAATAGGTTCCAACCAGCATCTAAAAAAAATAACCAAGCAGGATAGAGGACAAAAAACATTACAGGATATTGTATATAGTGAGAGTAAATGTTTTGTGAACCTCTGTTTTAGCTTATAGGTATATGTACTAGGTTGTAACATAAAATGCGTTTTTTGTGGATCATGGTGAAAAAAAGTTAGAAAATCACTGGTTTACAGCAATCAATTTTCAGATAGTCCTTAAAAAACATTTTATTAGGGAAAATTTCAACTATACAGAAAAGTCGTGACAATACTAAAATAGACCCTGCTCATTCTTGTCTGCTTTCCAAGTCGTCTTTTGTAGATAGTACAATCCTATTCATTTCCTTCAGTAATTTATTTTTATTTCTTTGCTCCATCCTACCACATGCAGGGGCGATTTCAGGCAGAATTGAAGTCATCCTTCCTGATGATTTGAGTTGTGAATATTTCGGGTCAGTTGGGAGCATTCTTGAGAGGCCTCAGGAATCACCTGGGAGAAAGAAGTTTGGAAGGAGAACTGAGGCAAACCCCACAGACGCTGCTGACACAGCCTCTGTGCCTTTTCTGGAAGAGACAGTCATGTCCATCACCCTGTTTAGTTCAAAAATTCCCCTACCCCGTTCCCCGCTTGGAGAATAGAGAGAGGCAGAGCTGGGAGGGACCTGAGAACACCCAGTCCAACCCTATAGATGAAGACACTGAACTTTGGGGGTGGGAACTGAGTTACCCAAGAGAGCCTCTCATTTAACACCATCTCTCACAGACCCCACAGGCTGCCAGGAGCCTGGCATCAGGGTCACTCTCACAGACAGGAAACCAGGATACAAGAAAGTCAAGTATCTTGCCCAGAGCCTCTGACAATATCATTAGTGATTCAGGAATAAATCTGAAGGCTCCTCCTTTCCTCTGAGTACTTTGCTTCTTAGGGTTGGACCAAGTGAGTCATCATTTGGATGGAATGTGTGTATAGGTGGGAGGGATAGAAAAGGAGGGGAGAGTCATCAATTTCTGATGCCGTCCTGTCCCTTTCCCCAAGGCCACTTCAACCAGCAGTGGCCCAGCTGCATTCTCAATATTGTCCCATCCACTTCTGCACGCTCAGGGCTTTTTTTGCTCCACTAGACCACACCGCTCAGCACGTTCTCAAGAATGGCTCTAGATGGTTCCAGTGGTTACATACAGGACTTGGCCATCATTTCATAAGTTCCAGCTCCATGTGCAGTGCGGAATTTGAACTACAGAATGGGATCCTAAAGAGAAAAAAATTAAACTGAATTAAACAAAAATCTCACAACACTGGAGAAATCACTTGTACCCCTATGTAGAGAGAGACAAAGCACATAAGGCTAAAGATTAGTGCAGTGAATATTCGATAACTGGTAGCCATTTTAAACTTTCTTTCTTAAGCTTTGGAACAATTACCCTCACTGCTCTCCCTTCCTCTTTGTCCTTCATGACTTGCCCCTGCCAACTTCAAAAAGAAAACAGAAGCCAGAGACTGAAACTCCTTCAATTTCTCATATCAACCATGCAGGTCCAAGTCTTTCCATTAGAAATCAGTCTACCTAAACCCCATATCCCATTCTAGCTATTACTCTCTTTCTCTTTTCATAATCAAACTCCTCAAAAGCGCTGCCTCGTCGCCTTTCCACCCACTCATTTCTCAGCCCACTGCAGTTTGTCACTTCCCTCCACTGACGCATCTCTTGTGAAAGTCTCTGATGACCTCCATGGTGCCTAATTCAGAGAAACTTTTTAACCTCTCACAGCTGACCACTGTCCTTGTTGAAACATCCTCTTTCCAGGCTCTACTCTCTTGGTTTTTCTCTAACTTCTAGCTTTTCTGTAGCCTTTGCAGGTTCATCTTCTACCCACCAGCCATCAGGGAACTTGTCAGGACTGACTTAGGCCATCTTCCCATGCTGTAATCTCTCCCTCAATTACTTGGTCCCTGGTCTTGATTCCCACTTTTATGTTTCAAACTCTTATTTTCAACTCTCTCCTTGAATCTCTACTCACATGTCTCAAAGGCACTTTAAATTCAACTTGCCCAAAACCAAACTCATAATCTTCTCCTCCCAAGCTGGTCTTCTCCCAGGGCTCTTCTCTCTGAAATGGAAACTGTCTGTACAGCTGTGTAAGAGACTCATCTTTACCACTTCTTTCTCCCTCACTTCTCATGGCCAATCTATGACCTGTCCTTCTGAATATAATGCTAAAAATCTCTTGACTCTGTCAAATAAATTTTATCTCCTTCTCCTCAACTTCCTCCCTCACCTTCCCAGGCCCAGGCTTGCCCAGACTGCTGTAATAACTCCCACATATCTCTTCTTGCCCCCCGCCCCCAATTCTGTCCCTACACTGTATCAAGAGTGATCTTTTAAAATTACACCTCTGATGAATCTCCCCCTACCATATCAAACCTTTCAATGGCTTTCTGCTCCTTGAAAGATAAAGACCGAACTCTCCATGTGGCCTACAAGACCCTGTCTCCTTCTCCAGCCCTAGCTCTCTCATCCTTTCCCCATCTGCAGCCCTACCACTTTGTACATGCCCACTCCCGCCGCCAGGCTTCTGCACATGCTGGTCTCTCCATTTAGAGCGTTACCTTTCTCCCAACTCCTGCACGACCCTGCCACCACTCTTGAACTTATCAGAGTTATAATTTACGTTTTTGTGAATGATTATTTGGTAAATATCTAGCCTTCCTTCAGATCACTAGTTGTATGAGGACAGGAACCTCCTCTGTTTCTGCTCATTCTATCATCTTCAACACCTAACACTAGGCCTGCCATATAGAAGATGTTAAAAATCTTTTCAGATATAATGGAAGTTTCTTTGTACAGTCATGCAGCAGATAAGGACATTTCAGTCAATGACGGACTGCATATATGATGGTGGTCCCATAAGATGAGTACATATAGCCTAGGTGTGTAGCAGGCTATACCATCTAGGTTTGTGTAAGTACACTCTATGATGTTCGCACAATGACAAAATCGCGTAACACATTTCTCAGAACGTATCCCTGTCTTTAAGCAACACACTACTGCACTCCTCCTCAGCCTCCTTCCTTCTTTCCTCCACTCTCCTGAAATTCCTGCCTGTTCTTCTGGTCCATGAGTCTGTGTTTTTTATGCATTTACTCAATATCCATATTTACTAAATATCCATACAGAAAACAAAGGCTATTGTTTCCTGTGTTTAACATTTATACAAATGGAGTCATATTCCACTTATTATCCAGCATTTTGCTTTTTTCATTCAACATTTGGTTTTCAAGATCTATTCTTGCTGATACGTATATAGATTCATTTCATTCATTTTGACTACTAGATAGTATGCCACCAAATAAATCATTTTGATACTTCTATAGTTGAATTTCTGTTTTTTAAAATTTATTATGCTTTTGGTTTTGTTTGTTTTGTTTCCTTTTACTGATAATTATGGACTGAATGTTTGTGTCCCTCCAGAATTCATATGTTGAAGCCCTAACCTCCAATGTGATGGTATTTGGAGAAGCGGCCTTTGGGAGGTAATTAGGGTTAGATAAGGTCATGAGGGTGGGGCCCTCATGATGGGATTAGTGCCCTTATAAGAAGAGACACCTGAGAGCTTGCTTTCTCTCTTTTCCCTCCATTTGAGGACATAGTGAGAAGGTGGCCACTGCAATCCAGGACTAGATCTCTCAGTAGGAACTCCGTCAGCTGGAATCTTGATCTTGGACTTCCTAGACTGTGAGAAAATAAATTTCTGGTTTTTAAGCTGTCCAGTCTATGGTATTTTGTTTTGGCAGTTTGAGCAGACTAAGACACTGACTTCTATTGAATTGATGTTTTCTCTACTAGTCTGGAAGTTTTATATTCCATTTCTATTCTTTTTATGTTTTCTCTTAAGCATTTAATACACATTTAACTCAACACAATCTAAAGTTAATTTCTAAGTCTTTCCTGTTATTGTTGCCTTGTTTTTATCCCCACTCTGCCCACATTAAATATTTACAGTAGATACTTACTTTTATAAACAAGACTATCTTTTTTTTTCCATACTTTTTTATCATGTCCAACTCTGGGTTTAATTTCCTTCTTGATTGAAAGTTCTTTTTAATTCTTTCAGTGAAGGACTATGAGTAGGAAATCCTTTCATTCTTCTTCTCAAAAAAAATTGCTCTCCCTTTTTAATACAGTTGCGTTACAGGCATAGCAAAATAAATGCAAGGCAGTGTTTACATCTGAATGGAAAAACTACTGGTAGTTTTCTTTAGTTACTTGCATATTCTAATTTTTCTAAGCTGAATATTATTTGTGTAATTTCTCAAAAGTTAAAAAATACACAACAAAACACAATAAGACATGAAATACTCTGATGACTGGCTTATCAAATCAATACCAAATTCTCACGTATTCTGACCATGTTTCTGCCAGATTTCCTTCAGGAGCACCATCAAAGGTGGTGCTGTTGCCATGGCACCATACAAGTAGCCCCCATAGATATTAAAATGGAGGAGTCACGTCATTCCAAGCTCAGGTTTCAGCTGCTCTGGGCTGCATTTATTTGCACAACTTCAATGCAAATGTGCCTTTAATCCTGATTTGTACTTGACATTAGAAATTCTCCTTCCCAGTGGTGGAATGTAATGTCTGACTTCATGCAAGACTTGAAGATAGAGTGTGAAGCAATCATAGCCAGCACCCACTGTACCTGGGAAGCGTGGCTACATCTCCTCTTCGCTTTCAAAGCATTTTTTTTTTAATGCAAATGATGCTTCAGTTGGCGTTGAGAGAAGCATCTGGGCATAGAATGGAAATCCAGAGCACAAGCCAGGTCCTCTCCAGAGTCACCAGATTTCAAAGGACAACAGTGAAAATTACATTTCTAGGGAGAGATCACAGCGAGTGACATTGAGTTAACATCATTTTTGCAGCTGCTTGGGAAGCTGGTCAGCTGAAGAAATCTGAATTCTGTTCACACAGTACTTCAGTTAGTCAATTAGTCCACTCTGCTATTTTATTTTTAGCAGATTATGTTTGGATTCTTGTTTTCTCTTGGGTTTAGGTTAAAAAAAAACTTTTTTCTGGTTCCTATCACACTGCATCCTGCAGATTATATGGGCTCCAAATTAGTTTCTCCTCATATTTGTAGTCAGTAGATTTCTCAAAGATAAAAAAAAAAAAAAACAACCAAACCACTCCTGACATCAAAATCCATTTGATAACATGCACTTCCAAACTAGACATGAGAGATTCAACAGAACGCAGACATTTCACCTTGTATTCAGTACAGAAGCATTGTTTTCAGAATTCCCCTATTGGAGAATAGCAATGAATGCTTCAGCATGAAAAATAAAACTGAGACCTCCACATAACAGACAGAGGAGCACATACATTTATTCTCATTCCCTTCAGAAATCTCACTATTAAGATAGTAAAGGGATTTTTAAGAAGACATAATCTATAAAGGCAAAGAGAATAGAAAAATGGAAAGCAGATAGACAAGTGATAAAAACTAAGCAGTCAGCTGTAGAAAAAGCTGAGCAGCAACTATTTTATTCAGCAGAAACTCGCCTCCCCTCATCATGTTGTAAAAGTTTAGGAACTGGGAGTGAAGAAGGGGTAAAGATGTAGCTAAAATCAAAATGATTGTTTAAAAGTCTACTTAAGAAGAAATTAAAATTTTGTGTCTCCTTTTCCACTCCATAGAGCCAAGCAGCTACCTTTCCTGTCCCCTGGCAGAAAACTAGATAGTTAGCTTCTGGAGATGGTCTCTAGACTGGGGGAGCATTGATCACAGTTGACCATGGGGAGACAATATTGTCAACAGAGTGATTAAGTGACCTTTGCAGGATGATTTTTGAAACCACCAGCTCACTTCTCCCTACTGGCTCCCAGAATGTTGGAAGGCAGGCTGTACCCTCCAGGAAGGAGACTGGAGGATTCTCATCTGCAGATTCTGATCAGCCCAAGAAAAAGATAAAAACCACCAATATTAGGATTTCCTAAGTAAATGACCCAACGAGATACTCTATACCAGGATTTCTCAACCAAAACTACTGACATTTTGGGCAGGATAACTCTTTGTTATGGGGGGCTGTCCTGTGTATTGTAGGATGGTGAACAATATCCCTGACCTCCACCCACCAGATGCCAATAGCACTGCTCTACACTGAAAGCCCACAGTTAGCAGGTCCCTCTCATGCACTTGGAGTTTCCAATCAGTTTCGTGGAGCTTAATTCGCTCTTCAACATGAGTTGACAACCATTAGTCAGATGACACCTGAGGAAAAAAGCCTCTAACGTGAAATACAAAGATCAAAATAAACTTAAAAAAAAGTTTAGAAGAAACACAGACTATATAGGAAGAAGAAAAATCTCAAAAATTATAATTATTATCCTGAGAGAGAGAAAAGACAGTGCAAAAGAACTCTTGCAAATTAGAAATATGACTACAGAAATTTAAAAAATGCAGTGAAACGGATGCAAAAAAAGTTAAGGAAATCTCCCAGAAAGCAGAGCAAAGAGATGGAGAAGTAAAGAGGAGGTCCAGAAGGACCAATATCCAAGTGACAAATTCTAGCAGGAGAGAACAGAGCCATGGGGTGAGGGTCAGAAGGAAACCGTCGACAACATAATTCAAGAACTTTTCCTACAACCAAGATGCGAGAGTGGACTGAAACAGCCCCCTGAATATCTAGCACAGTAAATGATACAAAGATCTACATGAGGCAAACTATTGAAAGATTTCAGAAAGCCAACAGTAAAGAGAAGATCTGAAAAAGATTCTAAAGAAAAATTTGCATACGCTATTCAAGATTCAGGATGACTTTGTACTTCTCAGATGTAACACTGAAAGCTGGAAGACGATAGAGGAATACCTATATGTTCTGAAGGAAACCATCAAGTGACAGTAGATTGAAGTCAATCACAGATGTGAGCGGCCTTTAACATTTTCCTCTCATGTACTCTCAGAAAACTATTAGAGGAGGCGCTTCATCAATACAAGGGAGAACACCAAGAAACAAGAAAACATGATGCGAATGATTCCACACAGAAGAGAAAAACAAAGAATTCCCAGGATGATGGAGGAGTTACAACCCAGCACATCAGTTGTTCATTTCTCCAAGCAGTCCGCATTGGAGAACTTGGAATGTTTTGGAAGAAATTTCTCCAAGAAAATGTAATTGATAGAACATGATATATTCAAATATTTTGAGAGGAGACTGAGACAAACAGAGAATTTGGGGTTCAAGTAATGATGAGACCTTAGAAAACCACAGACAGAAATGTTCATATCAGGGAGAAAAAGTTTTGTACAAAAGGGAGAAATTACGGAATGCTAAATCACTAAGTTGGAAAGAATGTTTACATACCCATCATAATATAAACTCTATCTATTCAACAAAATTATAATATATTTATTTTAGGAAGATGGTACAACAAGAAGGATGAAGTATGTGATGGGGCAAAGTGGTAGTGATGGAGATAAGAGATAAATATAGAATCCTCTTCTTCCATTAGGGGGAGTTAGATGGTGCCTAATACTTGCTCAGTCTTTGTGAGGATGTGCTGTGTAGATGTCCACAGATTCTATTTCATAGGTATACATATACATTGATCTCCTGCAGTTGGACCAATCAAGCATCGGCTTAAGCATTAGATTTGTGTTGTGGCTCTTGGCTTGGCCATTTCCTAGCCTTATGATTTGAGCAGGTCATTTAATCTTTCTAGACCTCAAGTTGATAATCAATAACACAGGAGATTTTATTCAGTGAACAAACAATTATTGAGCAATTTCCATGGGTCCTGTGGGTGCAGGGATAAAAGGGACAATCCTTGAATGTAGGGAGGCAGACAAAAAAGCTGATGGGATGTGTACAGAGTGCTGAGAGAGCACAAAAGAGGGATGGAGACTAGCATTTGTTGAGCACTTACCATGTGCCAGGTAACACGTCTTGTAATGCTCCCAGTCACCCAGTGACAATATTGGTATTTTACAGGGGATGAAATCCATGCTCAGAGAGGCAAAATAATTAAGCCCCAGTTGTACAGCTAGAAACTAGCTACAAAACAGAATGTAGGCCCAAATCTTTCCTGCTTCCATGTCATTCTCTCTTCAAAAACACGTGTCCCCTATGGGGCACCAAGCCTACACAAGAAAAAGCTTAAGGTCAGAAAGGATTCTTGAGAAGTGGCACCAGAGTGGAGAGCTGATGAATGGATTCTGCTGGTCATGGCAAAACCTGGATACTACACCTCCCTCTTCTGGATCAGCACCCTGCTCTATTTATGAAGCTTCACTGAGCAAATATTGAAGTGCCTCTTTCACTCCACAGACTGTGTGAGGTACTGAAAGATATAAAGGTAAAAGCAAAACAAAATAAAACAGAAATAGAACCGTTCCTGCTCTGGAAAAGCTTACAGCCTGTTGGTGAGGACGATTATCATACAGTAGGGAGAACCATATGCTGGAAATGCCAAACACAAAGGTGCAGGGGACGTGGTTGGGAAGTAGGAGTGTCTTCCTAGAGGGAGTAGCTGGACAGGGTCTGGGGGATCAAGCAAGGGTTAGGAGAAGGTTGCAGGAGAGGCCTTCTGGCAGAGGGCACGGCCTACAGCATGCCTGAGGCATGAGTGCCATGGCAAATTTAGGAAACTGTAATGAGTTCAGTCTGGGGGCTGGAGTTTACGATTTAAGGAGAAGCTATAAAAGATGAAACTAAAGGGATAAGCAAGAGCCGGTTCATATAAGACCTCACATACCATGCTAAAGAGTCTGGACTCTTTAATCTTCTATTATTAGTGAAGTGTAGATAGGAGAGCAAGGATAAGACTTGCAACATAGGAAGATCAATCTGGTTGGCATTATTTAGGGTGAATAGACAGGGAGTGAGACTGGAGGCAGGGAGGATGATGAGGAGGCTAATGAATTATTCAAGGAAGAAATGTTAAGTGGCCTGAACTAGGGTAGTGGTGGAGAGATGAAGAAAGGCAGATGGATTTGAGAGTTATACAGAGGCGCTTAGCTTCCAAGGATGCTCACTCTATTCCTGCTAAGGTTTCTGCCTAAATTCCCCTCACGAGAGCTGGTCTGGAGTTCCCGAGAGAAGGGAGGACTTATCTGCAGTACCATTTAGTCCATTATATGCCCTCATTCATGCCATAGCTCTCCTCTGGGGGTTACAGCAGGGAAGGAGGTTTGAGGCCAACGAGTTAGAGCCAACCAATGGGAAAGGTGAGTGGCAGGCCTTCTCGGCACACCCGAAATGTGGGAGAGGATGGTGCATTGGGGAACTGCACGGAGATCTGTGTGGCTGGAGTGCAGGATTGTATGGGAAGAAGACAGGCCATTGAGGTAGAGAGGCAGGTACAGGCCAGACCTAATGAACTCCCCTTATGGGCTTGCTAAAGAGTGTGACCTACGCAGAAGGCTGTAGGAACCACTGAAGAATTACAGTAGGTTGGCCAGATTTCATTATGGAAAGGCCATTCCATAACAGTGCGAAGGATGATTTAGAAGATAAGTAGGGAGGCTCTTTGGAGGGCCTGGATCAAATAAGTTATGAAGGGAAGAGAGAAATGGAGAATGCTTTCAGAGATATCTAGGGGATAAACAGGTCATAATGATTTGATGCACGGGTGAGGAAGTAGGAATGGACTTCTATACTTCCAGCTTGAGCAAATAAGTTAGATTTTGTGCAACAAGGCTGATGTAAAAATAAATAAGGATGGGTGATGTATTAATTAGGGTCCCAGCAAGGAACACATGGCTCACTAAGCTGGGATTTTTGAGGGGATTTTTTCTTTTGGTGAGGAAGATTGGCCCTGAGCTAACATCTGTGTCAATCTTCCTCTACTTTGTATGGGCAATGCCACCACAGCATGGCTTGATGAGTGGTGTGTAGGTCCAACCCTGGGATCTTTATCTGGGAACCCAGGGCCACCAAAGTGGAGGGCATTAACTTAACCACTACACCACTGGGCTGGCCCCTTGGAGGAACTTTTTATAGATGTGTGAGCAGGCTTAAGGGAACCAACAAGAGCTATTGAGACACCCAAGTTCCAGCAACAGTGAGAAGCTATTACTACCCTAAGGCTGGGGGCCATGAAAGAAACTGCAGTCAAGAAGAGATGCAGCCAAAACTTCACAAAGCAGGGAGGAGTAAATACCCTGACCTCTTACCCCTTTCACTCTGCAGTCTTTTGGCAGGGCCTCCCACTGGCCAAACATAAATGGACCCCAAAGTTTCAATCTGCAGAGGTCAGCCTCCCCAGGCACAGAGGAGGCTTGAGAATATCAGAGAATGGATCTAGGGGACAAACTGAAAAGGACAGGATTTGAGAGGAAATAACGAAGCCTACCATCAATATTTTGACTTCTAGGTGTCCAGAGGCCATCCATGTGGAGATGCCCAATAGGTCATGTGCTGCAGATGTCTGGAGCTCAGCAGAGAGCTCTGGGCTGCAGATAGATCTTTGAGAGTCATGTTCCAGGTTGGTGACAACAAATCCTTTCTACCCAAGGGTTGTTAGGAGGACTAGATATGATATCAGTGCTTTTAAAAGTGCTCTGGATTAGGAGCTGGCCCCGTGGCCGAGTGGTTAAATTCACGTGCTCCCCTGCAGGCGGCCCAGTGTTTCGTTGGTTTGAATCCTGGGCGCGGACAGGGCACTGCTCATCAAACCACGCTGAGGCAGTGTCTCACATGCCACAACTAGAAGGACCCACAGCGAAGAATATACAACTATGTACCGGGGGCTTTGGGGAGAAAAAAGGAAAAAAAATAAAATCTTAAAAAAAAAAAGTGCTCTGGATTAATATGCATTTAGTGATCCTCTGAGACATTATAGTAGTTCTTGTAGTTTTTGCATTTAACTAGTAGTAGCTTGGAAATTTCTTCAGTAGTTGACAAGATGTATAAAATTGTATGGAAGAGCAAGAAAAATAAACAAACTACCCTCTACCTTCACAATGTAGACCAACCTATTAAATCTGTCTCTATCACATCCAGTATATACGTATATAACTTTCTTGCTTTAGGTAATTTATCTTTCTCATATCTGTCTTTTGAAACTTTAAAGACTGCACTAAGTGATAAATATAAAATATAATTATACTTTAGAATATAGTTCCAAGTTCTTCTAAATCAAATAATTTACATATTTTTATGTAAATAACATATCGGGAATTAAAAGGTTTTTTCCAGGGGTGGGTGATGGGGAAGTGCTCTTTAAAATGCTAAGATACCAAGATAAGAAGCAAACATAGGTGGTGATATTGTTAATGTTGTTATTGTAATAATATTGCCAGGAAACACACTTTGAGTGACAGGTGAACCTATCCTATATGACCTATTCATTCATCAAAAAAGCTATGTGCACTCCCACCCTATGCTACGAACATAAACACACTTGACAGTGTGAATAACAATATATTTCAAAGTAGCTCCTCTTGTCTACCACTTGGAAGGTCACCCATGTGCACATTATAGCGTGCTGCCAGTGCACAGAACATTTTAGGAACTCGCCCACTGCTTGCTGTTATTTGCTCTGGGGCTGCAAATATGCTTATGAATATCCCCAGTGATGGCAAGCCCATCCTTTGAAGATGAATCTGATTTTGTCAACAGCCAAAATTTACTGGATATTAATGGACAACACCAGGAAACCTTCCAATTTGTATGCTGGAGAAACAGAAGGAACCTGAATCCTAGCTCACAGTTGCCAAGAAACTCTACAAGATGCAGGTGCAAATCATTTTTTCTTCCTCTTTTAAATTCAGACTCATCAAAATATGTATTTTTCAGATGCCACTAATGAAAATAAATTGGGTAATCAAGCTGGCTTATACAACTTGTAGTGAAAAACGAGGTGTGATTTTTCAAGTATTGAAGACTTTCTTAAAGCTAACCATGGGCTCTGAAGACAATTCCAAAAGAGGAACCTCAGAAACAGTTGGAGTTATGGCACCAGATTTGGAGTCAATTTACAGTCTCCTAGGGAGACAACTTTCACTTGTGTTCTGCTCGCCAGGATTTGTTCAGCAACAGCAGTGCTGATCTCCTTCGTTCTATTTGATAGCTGCACCATCTTTAAATAGTGTTGTTCAAAATGAATGCCCCAAATCTCAGGAAATTCTCAAATATTGATGGCTCAACACCCTTTTCCTTCTGGCAAGAAGCCCACCCTCCACCTGGATTTTGCTTGGGCTCCTGGAGAACTGTAGAACTCAGGCAAAACCTGGGTTTCATAGGCAAAAAAAAAAAAGGATGCACAGAAGCCCAGTCCTCCCTAATTGAGGGCCCCACTCTTACTATTTCTGTGAAATTGCTAAAGGGTTGCCCTCCACAATCTGTTTACTGTGCCCAGAGACGAACGCATTTGAAAGACGCATCCCAATTTGTAAGATGCAACTACTCACAGAAGTATTTATGCTGACCATTACAATCAGGGTCTATTTATTCCCTATATAAATAAAGAGGATTATGAGTTTGGGATGGTTCCTGAGAAATCATCCAGCTCATGTCCCTGACAGGAGACAAGGTTAAATAATAAAGGCAGTTCCTTGGTGTAGCTGCAGAGCCCCAAGGGAAGGAAGGTAAGTGCCTATGGGTGTTACTTGAATGTAGCCCATCGGTAGCGGCAGTATCCTCACTAGTTTCCCTGCATCCACTCTTGCCCACCCCCTCCAATCTATTCTCCCCATAATGCAAATGGATTGAGCTTTGAAAAACAAGACTAATCATGCCACTCCCCTCTTACTAGCCTTCAAAAGCTGCACATTTCTTTAAGGAAAAATGCCAACATCTTTCCCCTGGCCTCTAGGGCTCTGATTGATCAGATCCCTGCCTGCCTCTCCAGGCTTGTCTCAAACCCTCCCCTCTTACGTTGTGAACCAGCCCTGGAGACCTTGCAGTTCTTCAAATGTGCAACTCTCTTCTTCCCCAGGGTCTGCTCATCGCTGTTCCCCCAGCTCAGAATGCTCCTCTCCCACCCCATTCACCTGATTTACTATTACTCTTCCTTTAGATCTCAGCTAAAGAATGCCCTTCATCCCCGACCCCTCCCCACAAAGTAGGTCAGCTCCTCCTTGCCCCACTGTGTACTCAGGGCTGCTATCTCAGAGCTATCTACTGACAGCACTTATCACAGGTTTAAAATTGCACATTCACATTTGAGATTGTTTGATTAGTTGGTATATATCTCTTGCACTAGATTTTAAACTCGACAAGATCAGGAACCACATTATTTTGCTCACTACTGTATGCCCCTGGCACATAGTAGGCAAGGAATAAATCTTCATTGAACAAACAAATGAATGAGAGGGCCAAGAAACTGTATGTGAAAAAATCAAATAATAAGTTGGTGGAATTTGGTTGTCACAATGCATGTATACACAGTAACTATCCATGCACCTCTATCAATTTTTTATTGTATACTCTAGGAAGGTAAAGGGGTAAGAGAGAAGATGACCAGTTGATAGAGTGAGTACCATGTTATTCATTCATTCATCCATCCTGCACTCAGTTTTATTCATTCAGATGTCGCAAGATGGAAAAATTTCCTTTTTATTTGAAGAGTTGGCACTATAATTTCCCTTAGGAGAGAACTGTCTTAGTTGCGACAACACAAAAGACTATGGTAAATATTTAGGTTAAGAAGTGGGTCCCTTTTCCCCCACTCCCCTACTCCACCAAGCAAAGGCAGAAAAATATAGTCTAGGCATGTGGCTTTCTGACCTGTTGCAGAGACAAAGCCTAGAGAAACTGGAGAAAAAAGCAACTAACCCAGACAGAGGTGCTCTTAGGTGATACCTCTTGTATACCAATTGTCAGAACTTCGTTATTAATAGGAACTTTATGATAGACACTTTAAAATGAAGACCACTAACAAGTATCTGACATGGGAAAGTTTATTCTTTTGACTGAAATATCTATATTATAGATACCATACAGCAAAACTGAAAATTTATTGCAAGCAATAACATATTTGATTTATACTCTTACCTTTATTGAAGACCATCCCACTTCTGCATGTAATAGAAATAAAGTATTCATTGACATCATGGCAGAAACAGTGATGCTGGAGAACAAAATACGTGGACTGTTCTTCTTGTGCTCTGAATAAGAGATGTAATCGGATGCAATCATTTCATTAATACACACATGGCCCTGTAATGGGAATACAGAGGACCAGATGGCCAGGAGCGGACTGAGAGGAAATGAGATGGGTGTTTGCAGTTTAGCAACTAACTACTTAGCCTGTATGGATTATACTAAGTACTTACAGAACCACAGGAACACATTTTCAGAATGAAATTCTGGCTTTGTGTCCAGAAGTACCATTCTCAGAATGAGAAGAAAGCCTATTTCACTGCAGTCATACAGGGCTCTTCTGCCTAAGTAGTTGGTGGTGGGTATTACTGCACTAGTGCTCAAGCTCGACTGCATATTGGAATCACCTAGAGAGTTTTTTGAAAAATACCAATGCACAGGGCTCACCTCTAGAAATGCTGATTTAATTGGTCTGGGATACAGTGTAGGCACTGGGATTTTTCAAAGGTCCCCAGGTGACTCTAAGGTGTAGTAAAATGTAAGAGCCATTGCATTAATGTAATTCCTGTATTTCCACAAGTAGGACCACTTTATAGATCAATAAAAGAAGCCAGTGTTTGTAGAGTGGGATTTGGGAGGACTCAGAACATCCTTTGCCCCAAAATAGCTATTCTCTCCTTCTGTGTTGTGTTTGGAAAACTATCTAGAAAAATTCATTTCTCTGAATGAAGGCTTTGCAACTTAAATGAGGATAATTCCTCTGAGAAGGATAATACATTAAGTGGTTATCAGTTATTAACACCGTGGTGTGCTTGTTTATCGGATTACTTTCCTTCATGGTGGTGGAGTAAGGGATGGGCAGTGGGTGAAGCACAATGGTGGGAGACTCAAAGGTCAATAGGATGTGGATTCAAGGTGAATTCCAGGGATGGGAAACTGGACCAAAGGCAGTCTATAGTCAAAGTGGAATGTTGAGTTTACATCAAAAAGAGAAATTTGATGTGAGAGCTCTAAAGGGCAGAGAAGATTGTGAACCAGAGCAAATGGGCAAGTTGGAGTGTGTGCTCTTGACAAACCTTCAGCTGACTATCAAAATACTGCAGCAAGTGAGCTGATCATGTGGTGAGTGATGAATGAGTGGTATGCCTTTCCAGTCTCACCCCAGCTCCAGAAACAGGAGGCTCTCTGTACCAGACTTGGATGTTGGTGCCCAAGAGTGATCAGAAGGCAGTGACAAGAACCAGAAAATCACAAAAGCCTCTGGGCGGATAATGCCTGAGCCCCCAGAGTCCAGGCACAAACAGGAATTGGCTGAATTTCAGGAGGACAAGACACCAGGCAACCAGGAGAATCCATATATGATTATGAGAGCAAGGAAGAACCTTGAATTTAAGCTCCAGATCTTAGAGAATGTTTCTTTGGCGACAGATAGCAACTTCACATAATTATCTTGGCTGAAGATACGAAGCAACAGGATGACTTCAACTTTTAGCAGCACACTCTGATATAGAAGAAGTACAGAAAGGGTGCATGTGGAAAATAACACAAATTCTCCCAGCTTCACAACTCTGTCAAGGGCAGGTCCTCCCCACGTATAATTTCCCCTGCAATTTCCTCATGTCTTTTATACAGACTGAAAACGCACTCAGCAGGAAGCCCAGCTATATCCTGCATGACTGGGACTCCGGCTGGACAGAGACAATGAGAGTGTGAACAAGCAGGCACCCAGACCCCAGGTAGGCTCTTGGGCTCTGTAGCTGAATGACTTTTGAATAGTGTTGACTTAACAGAAATCTCTTCCTGCAGGTTTAATGAACCCCCCTGGGAAGCTCCCAATGTGAATGGGAATCATGACTTGACATAAACGTGAAAGATTATGTGACAGCAGGGCTGATTTGCTTCTTAATGGAGTGCTAATTTATTAGTTGTGATTTCGCACATCTGCTTTGGCCACAATGTCTTATTACATTGATCCTTGAGATATTACTACACATAGGTATGTTCTCTACATACAAGATGGGTGAGGAATGGAGAATTGGTACATGTGATTTTTTTAAAGGGATATATACCATTTTATTCAAAGGACTAGCAGGCAGAAGATGTTAGAGTTCCTCACTATTTGGATATATAGTCTCTTGATGCTAAGACATGGCTTGGCATTTGGGTCCATGAGATTTCAGAACAGTTTTGAAGGTAACAGGCTCAGGGGAGTCACAGGCCACACAAGAAGCCACCATATTTAGGGCTACTTATGATTGGGTTGGACAGCTTTACTCCTGTTGGAAATACTACTCTCTAAATTTTGTCTGGGCAGTAAAAGCAAAAAGTGCTTCCCTAAACATTTGAGCTGGGGCTTAACACAGGGAAGGAAACATAAAAGAAAAAAAGAGAAAAATCACTTTGCAGCAAAAAGGAGTAGATCTCACCTGCTGTTTATGTTCTTTCAAGTCCCACAAGACAAGTTGGGTTCACCCCTTCAGAAGAAAATTTGATGGTTTCCTTAGGAAACAGATGTATATAGGTCACTGGGAGAGATAAAGCTCAGTTAACCCTAGCTGTCTGAGAATGAAATGTGGAGGACTTTAACATGGAGACCACTTCCAAACCGAATCAGTCCTTCCAGAGCCACATGAATCCCAGGAGGCTACAGATGCTGGCGCTTCCAGGAGTCCACGGATCCAGAGCTGTGATCAGCTCTCCCAGGCTGCCTCTCTGATGCTGCAGCCCAAACCGTGCACACTCAACAGCATTCTCCGGGTTAGTTCAGCGGGTGGTGGGACCACAGGGAGTAAGAACAGCACAAAGTGGGAGCAGGAGGCTGGTAGTTGGCAAGAAGGCTTTCTAGTGAGGGGTCCAGGCTGCCCCAAGTCTACAGGGACTTTCACTTGGCAAAGGGAACCCTTTTCTCCTCTCAGTCTGAACATAACTTATGGTCGTGGGGCAGCCAGGACCCATCTCTACTCAGGGAACGTGCAGCTTTCCCAGGTTAAGGGGAATGGAGAGTCAGAGTAGCTACCCTACTCCTTCAGCACACTTAAGTTTCCACAATGCTCCAGACACCATGGAAAGCACCATGATGTATAAGGCATGGCCTCTGCTCCCCAAGAATTTATGGTCCAGTAGAGAGGTCAGTAGATTCCCTTTCATTCTTACACCTTGCACAAAGTTCCTAGGGGGTTTCATTTTCCACATAGTTAAAGATGAAAAGCTAACAGGTTCACCTGGGAATCTGTGGTGGAAAAGAGAATGAAGTTCTAAGCACATATAAGGAAAAGAGCAAATCCAGATACACCCATGGGGTAAATTGGATCACTCTTAGTAACTTAGTAACTCTTAGTAACTCATTCCCTCCCTCTATGAGAACGTTCAACTCTGCCCTTGGCTACATGCCTTTACAGTGTTTCTCACTAGATGTGGAGAATATCCCTCTTCTCTGTTTAATGGAAATTACTGTTTGGTAAGACACGGCTTTGCAAAGCCAACAATCCAGGTATTATTTTCCTTCAGATGCTTCTAGATGGCTACGTCCCCATGATCCAAACCACCTTAATTCCCTTTTCCTTCTTCAAAGATCACATTTTCCATCCCTTTAAATTATTGGGTCCTCTTATTTAGGACTCTTAAATAGCACTTTCCTCATAGCTTTTTCCTCAGCTACCCTTATGACTTTAGGCACCTAATCTTTGGGTCAATTTTAATGTCTACGAAACAAGAGGAGAGGATTTCCTGGTTTCTAGGATTCCTTCCTGTCCTACTACTCTTGAAAGCAAAAATTCTCAACTTCTTATTGTTATTAGAGCCACTGGCAAGAACTTAATAAAAATGCAGATACTTAAATCTCGCTTCCATGGATTTTAATTTAGCAGGTTAGCATCTGTATTTTTAATAAGTATCCGCAGATGGTCTAATGTACCCCAAAGTTTTTTCTACAAGTTCCATTGTTTCTCATCCAAAACTATTACTTTAATAGAGTAAAATGAGTTTTAAATAAGAGCTAAAGGAAGAACTTTCTTGTCAACTTAAATGGGGATCTTCAATCAGAGGGGAATGGAGACAGTGAGAATCTAGCTGGAGGAGATAATGCCCTGAGGAAACTCAGAGATGGTGAGCTACACAGAATCTTTTCATATTTAATGCAGTGCTATCAGGGCAAGTTATTAACTGAAAGTGGCATTCATCAGGGTCAAAAAAGGAAACACAACATACTAAGTGTAAAACAACTTATGAGTGATTTTTAAAAATAAAAAAGAGTTCATTGTTTTCAAGGAGTAGTGGGGACAGTAAGGATTTTTCCTAAAAACAGGCCACTGAATCTAATAGACGAGTCTTTTAAAATATAGGCTCTGTGTGTAGGTGCTTTTGTGTGTATATGCACATGTGTTATATATACAGGTGTTGATATGTTGAATCTATACGACATAATAAAGCATATTTCAAAATAATAAACTAATCATCAACAATGTAGTCATAGCCTAGTGCTTGAAGGTTGCATGGGGAGAACATTTAAAATGTATTTCCTGCAGTCTATAGTCTTAGGATCACCATCTTTAAGGGTTAGGGAAAGCCACACGTATAGAACATAATGATTTTGAGTTGCGCAGCTTACTGGGGACATTTAAAGATGTTAAACAGATTTCCCTTGGAACTTTCTCCCTCATTCTCTCCTTATCTGAGGTCCTTTACTCCAAAAATGTCTGCTAGAGGAGTGAATACAGGGAGCCAGAGCCTAAGGGAGCCGGAGGGAAGTCTGAGAAAACACAAGCCTGAGTTGGGGGAATCACCATTCCATCTGGAAGCTGATTGGATAATGGGACATCCATCCATCCTCATCTTTGCACCTTCTCCCTGCCCAGCCAGACATAAGGAATACCTGCCTTCGCTCTAATGTTCTATCTACATGCTCTGCCTTTCTCCATTTTTAGTGGACTCTTTTACTCATTTGCAGTGAAAAACTGCTTCCATAGGGTAAAGATGTCAGGCCTAGGAAGCATCTCACTGATCCTTCTCGCACCAAAGCCTGGGTTGTGCCTTTGAACATCGTTTTATGCAGAAGCGCACTGAGTGGACTCAAGCCCACACCCTGTAGCCTTCTTCCCAGTCCCTGGGCCACTGGCTGCCCAACAAACTCGGTTGCTCTAGAACCAATGGTTCATCATGGTGCAGCTTATATAATACACATATGTGCTGTGATCCCTGTGGATAATTAAGGCTGCATTATATGCCTAGAATGAGTTAGCAACCGTTTCACAGTTGTATTTTTAAAAGGGTGACAACCACTTACCCATTGTGCTTTGGGTACATTTATAGGAAACACTTCAAACTTCTGTCTCTCCTAATACTGACCCCTGAGCTCATTAGCAGCCTAGTGTGAGTGTTTCAATCTTCTAGTGACCAATTAAGCACTTGCTCTAGACAGAACTGACAACAAAATGTAAATTTAAAAACAGAAACCAGGATCTGCTGGTTGTGGGGAGAGAGCCAAGGTGGGAAAAAGAAAGTGGAGGCGGGGTGAGGTTGTGAGCAGCTGTGTTTCTGCTCGCAGAGTACTGGGCCTCCATAAATTCAGATTAGAACACAGTTTACCTGAGAAGTACCCCCTCCACCTCATTAGTAAAGAAATAAGTACATAAATTTTTCTTTTTTTTTAAATAGCAGAGCGTCTGGGTTTGCGCTGGAGGAAGCCAGAACGTTAACCATGGTCACCCACTTGCACACTCT